TGAATATTCAAAAATATTTTTAAAATTATTAAATATTATCTAATATTAATTTTTAAAATTATTAAATATTTAAAAATTAGTTAATATTTATTTTTATAAAATTTAATTTAAAAATCTCAACATATAAATATATTTTTAAAATCAAATTTACCTTAGTAGAATCAAATTATCATATCCAACCTAAAAATTTAAAATTTGAGAAATTTGAATTGTAAACTAGTTTTTTAGATGTAAGAAAATACATTATTGAAATTATTTTTTCTAAAGTATTACTAAAACTCAATTCGTTGGCCTCGATTACTTCTGAAAAGGGCTTAAAGTCCCTTACACTTCTACCACCATATCTCCATCCATTGGCTTGAGATTGACTTGTATCATTGTTGTATCTCATATGTCTTTCATCAAATTTCTTCATTTTTCGCCTCTTGATTGGATGTTGAGTTTCACGATTAATTCAATGTTGTTCCTATCTTTATCTCGTACCAAAACCTCCTTATACCTTCGATTGATAATCCTTGGGACGTAGGAAAAGTTTCACCGTAGGTCCATGATGACCGCCATAATGTTTCAATCTAGAGAATGTTTATGGTTTTTGTCTAGGTGCTCAATTAAATCCAAAGCATTTCAAAGTGTAATTTGTCCATTTTTGCTCTAGGGTTAGAAATTTTATACTTGACTACTGTTGGTTTATGGGTCCAGAGAAATTTACTTTGATAAGATAATTACTTATTAGTACGCGATCTTGACTAATAAAGATAAGATTTTGTGTCAAACATGAGCCTCAGATCAAATTTTTGTTGATATCCTTTAGGGGGTTAGGTTGCTCAGCCTATTTGAAGTATGATTAATACTTGACTAGACCCTTTTGGCCAAAAAGGCGAGAAGGTGCACTGGACTATTGAAGATAAAATGTAGTCCAATCTTACTTAAATTGGTTTGATTCTGACCCCTCTTGAAAAATATCAATCGGATTATATGTTAAATATTATATGTCAATTTCAATCTGACCTGTGTATCAAATCAGGTAACCAATTACTAACCTTCACTTATATAGTCTCGGGTTCGTTCTTGACAAGCCTACTCGGGTTATATCCGAGACAATACACTTGCCTACTGAAATTAATCAGCCTTGAGCCTGAAACTATGTCAATTTTAGGACGACTAGAATGATATATCATATTTCATTTAGCCTTTCTCATATAGGGAGAACCATGTTTAATTTGATCTGAGATGATACAATATATATATATATATATATTCATATTTTAAGTAAACTAGTTTTCTAAATGTAAGAAAATACATTATTAAAATTATTTTGTGTAAAGTATTATTAAAACCCAAATATACTACAAAAGTTAGTTTCTGTAAAATAATACTTTTGTTTGAAAAAATATAACAAAAATATATATAGTTAACACAATGCTACTTTTGAATTAAAAAAAATACTATCAAGTTGAGTTAAATTTAACTAGTTTGATTCATTTTTTATTGTAATTACAAATCATGATTAAATTGATAAATTATGCTTTCATATATAAATTGTAACGACCCGGCAAGTCACCACACTCATAACCGCAGCACACCGGAAACACTAGACAGAATAGAACGAGTATATAAATATAGGATCTAGAATATAAATATATACAAATGTTCCAATCCGACTAGAGTTAGGGCGTAAAATAAAATACAATCCAAAATATCCAGATAGTGGCTTAACGTCCAAAACATCAGCCAATTAAGACTCCCCGTCCTCTACCAGCTATAAGCTTGCTCCTATCACAAATCTAGCCCTGCTCTGCTCCCATACAAGTATGATCATCGCAGTCCAAACACATGGAAAACAACAAGGGTAAGCTAGTATAAAAAAGAACAAGATATAGGGAAATTTTTAAGTAATAACAACAATTACAACCATCAACAATTCATCAATAACATCTTGTCAGTCATTACCACACGGTTTTTCAATGCACACACAATGCGTCGTCACGCATATCACCTCGGAGATCTCCTACCGCACCTCAGCCTTTCGGCCTACACACCTCAGCCTTTCGGCCTACACACTTCAGCCTTTCGGCCTACACACTTCAGCCTTTCGGCCTACACACTTCAGCCTTTCGGCCTACACACTTCAGCCTTTCGGCCTACACACTTCAGCCTTTCGGCCTACACACTTCAGCATTTCGGCCTACACACTTCAGCACACGTATCATCACAACGGTATAACTCAACATATCAATTTGCAACAATGCACAACTAATACAACTCACCATATCATTTTTCACTCAAAATACAACTAATGCAACTCACATCAATCAGCAATATTATTTACTCATCATCACATCATATTCGTCTATTCCAATTCAACTCAGTATATAAGAAATTTTCATCTCCGCGCCCGGCGCACTCATGGTTGCGCCCAGCTTTCCACAACCAGAGAGCACCAGGAACCAATACGCTTGGCGCAATACTTATTGCGCCCGACGTGAGGGAAGGCAGAGGCCTCACAGGATTTCATATGCCCGGCGTACGAACCCGCGCCCAGCGCCGGATAGGTAGAGACTTTCACCAAGTCTCACACTCGGCGCAATATAAATTGCGCCCGGCGCCACCCCTGGCAGAGACTCCCATGGAATCTCCACGCCCAGCGAGACAAGGCCAAGCCCGGCGCCACACCAGAACTCAAAACTTAAGTCATACACTGATATCGCGCCCAGCGCGGTTCCACCACGCCCAGCGAGGGCCATCCAGAGACTCACATCCTCAAGTCCGCCCGGCGCATTCACCATTACGCCCGGCGTGCTTGCCTAAATGGAGTCTCTGATGGTCACGCGCCCGGCGCGAAGAACTACGCCCGGCGTGATACCCAACAGCTACCCTCAAACTTTCGAAAATCTCATCGGAACCTACAAAACAACCAGGAAATCCCACATGCAATCGGCCTAAAACAATGCATTTCCATCGAGCATCACGAAAAACCTCTCATTTCCAACATGCAACCATAGAATCAAGAAAACCCAAATTTTTGAAATGAAACTCCAACTCCCAAAACCCATTTTAGCAAATCACCACCAAGAATCAACAACCAAAAATCAGAAATTGAGTTTCTAGAACTCGTTTGCAACCAAAATCCACAAGAACCAGCTTCCCTTACCTCAAATCAAGGAAATTGAGCTTCGGGAAGAATAACAACGAGAGGTAAACGAAGAACGGCTTGTACAACGAAGGAGAAGAAGGGAAACTCCTACTCAGCTAGCAAAATCCCGAATCCGCTCCACACCACCACGTTCAATGGTCAAAACGAAAGATCGAAGGGAATAGAGTGGGAGTGAGTAAGCAAGAGGGTCGGGGGTAGAAAAGGAAGGAAGGAAGGGGTCTCACATAAATTCTCTAAAATGAGGAGTTTTAAACCCTAAAATTTAGTACTACGTTTGTCCCTCTATATTTATAAGATTATTTTCACATTTATGTTTATTCATTTATACAAGATATTTTTTAAAATTGTTAGTTGTATTAATTATAATTGTTTTTAAAATATATTTATTTAATTAATAATTATTTTAAACAGCAGATCATAAATACTTCAAAGTAATTAGGTAAAAATTCTCTTACTAGAATGAATGTCTTATAGTTGAATTTGGAGATAGAATTAGTAGTGCACCCATAATATATTTTTGAGGTGCATTGGATGTTGAAGTGTTGTTTTAGAGAAGTGTTTTTATCCGAAGATAATAAATATTTGTGTACTAGGAATATCCAATGCAGTGGGTTGACGTGTCAAATCAGGATTTGTCGACTTCAGATTTCCTTGTCCAATCCTCCTACCGACTAGCGACTAACTTCCATGTTCCAATTCTGGACCGCATAAAACTCTACGTACAATTTGGAACACTCTACACACATACATACACTCTTCTCCTAATTCCTTATAAAAACTTCCTCCTTTATTTGTTTTTTTTTTTTTTTAATTTATATGCAAAACCCAACAATCTATTAAAATAAAATAAAGAGAAATAAATCGACGAAAGAGAGTGAGTGTACTAAGGCTGAGGCAGGAAATGAAAGGTCCCAAATATTATGATTTTCTAATACTTGAAAGGAAAAAATTATCACCATGTCCACACCCACAAAATAGTAAAGGAGACGTGGTCACTCTATATGCCTGTCATCAACCACTACACCACGTCCACACCCTTGTTAAATTAAAGATTGTATTCTCATTCTCTCATATTTTGGTTTACTCACATTCAATAGCATAGCTAGGAATTGCAATGGCTCAAACCATGTTGCTCATGTCTAGTGTCTCTAGTAGTTATTCCGTGGCTTTGAACAAAGACGTTTTCCTCCAATTGCAGGCTCAAAGACTAAGACCTAAGTTCTCTGATCTCTCATTCAACCCACTTCCATCAAATTCTTTGTTTTCTTCACGCCCTACATTCACAACTCTCGCCCTCTTCAAATCCAAGACCAAAGCCCCTCCTGCCAAGACCAAGGTACCACTCTTTTTCCTTCTCTCCTCATTATTTTTCAGCACACTGAATGAATCTGGTTTCATGAGCTCAATTTATGCATGCAGGTTACAAAGCCAAAGGTTGAAGATGGTATCTTTGGCACTTCTGGGGGATTTGGTTTTACCAAGCAGAATGAGCTGTTTGTGGGTCGTGTTGCCATGCTTGGTTTTGCGGTGAGTAAAATGTTACCTTTTCAATAATTGGCACATGAGTTAGTATTAGGAAGATAGATATATAATATGTAGAATATTAATTGCAGGCATCACTGCTGGGTGAAGCAGTAACTGGGAAAGGAATTCTAGCACAACTGAATCTGGAAACTGGAATTCCCATTTATGAAGCGGAGCCTCTTCTTCTGTTCTTCATCCTTTTCACTCTGCTAGGAGCCATTGGAGGTTTAGGTGACCGTGGTAGATTTGTGGATGACGAACCTACTACTGCAGGTGTTATTCCTCCTGGCAAAGGCTTCAGAGAAGCTCTTGGTCTCGGTCAAGGTACGTATACATAACAATGCTACGTAACGTACCTAGCTACTTCAATTTATAAAATAGTACTATAGTCATAATTATTGACTTGCCATTTGGATTTCAGGTCCTTTATTTGGATTCACGAAATCCAACGAGCTATTTGTGGGAAGATTGGCCCAATTGGGTTTCGTTTTCTCTTTGATCGGAGAAATCATCACTGGGAAGGGAGCTCTAGCACAACTGAACATTGAGACTGGGGTACCCATCAACGAAATCGAACCCCTAGTCTTGTTCAACGTTCTTTTCTTCTTCATTGCTGCTTTGAATCCTGGAACTGGCAAATTCGTTACAGATGAGGAGGCTGATGATTAGACCCTTTTCTCTCTGTTATAACAAAACTCTCTATCATCAATGCATTCACTTCATCATAAACCAATCCTTCATTTCTCTCCACACATTCATTTTTGCTTTACCTATAAAAACTCATATATAATTAATGCAACTCTAATTACAACCGCGCAATCATCTCCTTATAAAATCTAATACCTACTGAATCAAATGAGATATATCATTCCGCGTGATTAATTATAATACGTATAATTAATTCTTTAACCACTGGAGTCGGGTTTAACCATGTTAATCCAAGTATAGTATGTATAATTAGTTTCATTCGTTATGCTTTTTTATTTTTTATTTTTTTATAACCAATCTCTTGATTCTGTCACATAATGATTGATTAATACAAATCATGTTTGAAAAATATAGATTCGTTCTTAGTTATTTCAGAAAAAAAATTATATATTTTGGTGTTTTCATATCTTATCTTTCTCTTGTTGGTTGGCACATGGCATGGTTGTAGCTACTTCATGTACACGTGTCACCGAACAAGGTTACTTGGAGTTTACTATTGCCTCTGTGTTGGCGCAACATGGAAACACGGAATATTTCTTCCAAATACTTTTTCTTTTCTCTGTTTTGAGGTAATAAGGAATGCTTAGTCTACGTCATCCTATAGTCTCAAACATGGTCCATAATTTGTGAATAATATAATCAAGCAAAGTTAGTCGTATCAGGTGTCGATCTAAGTTTCAATAATAATTAGCATATTTTTAATTCAAATATTTTATAATAAAAAAACAAATCTAAGAATAGAGTATTTTTAAGAGTAAAAATAGATTAATTAACGAAAATTATTCCATTTAAAAATATTTATTACACTTATAAAAAGAAACAGAAAAATATTTATTACATTTAAAAAGTTTATTTTACATAAGAATAGGAAAAACAATTACCTCAAAAATTGATCCAAAAAGTTTAAGCAATATTTAACTAACACAGGAAGAAATAGACATCAAAAATTAGGTTTTGAATAAAGTTGTTTTATAAGTATTTAAATTAGTTGATAACATCAAATTAGGTTTTTTAAAAAAAGAAGGTTAAATACATCTTTCAAATTTAAAATCAACTTATGTTTTTTCTATATAAAAGATTTAAATAAGACAACTTTTATATGAGTTAAGTGAGAAAAAAAATTGTTCCGGTATACCTAAAAGTCTCATATCGCTTAGAAGTTGAGGCTAAGGGTAGTTTATAAACACCCTCCCTCCTTAACCCACCGAGGCGCCTTTTCAAGGACAAAATCGTGACGGCCCAATGAGCGCCAAAGCGAACAATACCTCGGATGCGGTGACCCTAACGATGACAGCGGACTTACGCTAAGAACATTAGCGCTAGAAGGAGGACCCAGGCCACTCTTGCCCCTTAGCATTGACTGGGAGCTTGTTCCGGTATGCCTAAAAGTCCCACATTCCTTAGGAGTCGAGGCTAAGGGTAGTTTATAAACACCATTCCTCCTTAACCCACCGACGCGCCTTTTCAAGGACAAAACTGTGACAGTCCAACGAGCGCCAAAGCGGACAATACCTCAGATGCGGTGACCTTAACGATGACAGCGGACTTACGGTAGGAACATTGGCGCCCACCGTGGGGCCGATCAAGACAGCTTTTATCGGCCACGCTTATGATTTTCACTCGAAGCCATAGTAGACGAGCAACAAACGACGTCGATCACACGACAAACATGGACAACGAAGCAACACACCGCCGATCTGCAAAACATGCGTGCCAAGCACGAAACTGACTTAACAGCGCTGCGTACCGCTAACGAAGCTGACCTAGCGGCTTTGCGTGCCGAGAATGAGTGCATTCGCGCCCAACTTCCTCGGCGACCTTCTGATCAACCCCCTCAACCGAGTTACCAACACGAGGAAGAGGGACACTCGGTTTCTCAACCATCGACAGCACCTAGGGCACCGACTCCCAGGCCTGCCACACATTGGTCACACGCACCGACGAACAGGTCGGTCCATGAAGTCAGCATTGCTCCTGCCCAAGCTCCTGGCAATCGAGCGAGCATCCGCCGCCACCCTTTTGTGGATGGCATTATGGAGACCCCCCTACCTTTCGGCTGGAAACCCCTCCACATCGACCGCTACGACGGATCCGGACGAGCACATCAACCTATATATCACGCAGGTAAACCTTTACACTAACTTTAGCATCGGAGTCTCTTTTACAGGTACCACCCCCATCTTTGAGCATCAAACGTACCAGTGAAGGAGGCTCACCGATTGTACCCAGCAGATCGTCCCCTACGACCGATCTCCGGTAAGAACAAAAATATTTTTACTTTATAACAAGTGTTTATGAATAATTTTATTCGAATACAATCTAAATCATAATTGTGTTATTGGTTGGATTTTTCAGTAAAAATTTTAATAGGTACTATATTTTATTGATATAATTTTTATTTATTATAAATAATTTTTTATATGATATATTTTTAAGATCATATATGATTGATAATACGATAATTTATATACTATTAAGCACAAAATGAATTCACACAAAATTATTCTAATTTAACTAGTGATTTCAAGTTTAAATCATGTGTATACAATTATATTAATACTTTAAGAGATAATTTTGTCATTCATAATAATTATGACTCAAATAAAATTGTTTTTAATAGAATATATCTAAGTGACACACCTGAGTAATCGCCTATTGTTGTCTATACTTGGTTCTCTTCTGAGTTCCTAACGATGTCCTATACCTGACCTGGTTGAGATAAGTCAAACATTGGATTCGGTAGGGTTTATGCCACCTAGACTGCTCAACCTCAATTGTTGGAGATCTCCTAGTTGTATATGCGTGACGACGCATTAGTTGATGTTGCATGGGTTGTTGCATTCAAGTTGTATATAATGTTGTATGAATGAGTTGATAGTTGAGCTATTGTGATAAATACTATGTGATTGTGTTGTGATGAGTTGTTGATCACTAGGACTAGAGGAGAAGTTTTCAAAGTTGCTCATCCCATTGTG